GTACCTCCCAATATTAATACTCAATGGAAAACCTGTGATTAAGAGAAATATGTTTTCCTCTTTATAGTAGAACAGTGAGCATTACTAATACCAGCTAGTGAAAGTTATAAATGTGTAATCTTTTTTAATTCATGGGTTTGTACTTTAGAACATAGGAGCAAACATTCCAGCTATATAACCAAGCAGAGCTTAAATCTCAAATTTGTATTTAAATTAGTTCCCCTGAGTTCTCTCTGGGCACCTCCCTTTTACACATGTAGACACTTCCAGACACCTAAAGCACATTGGCTCACTCCAGTTACCTGCTGCTGCTTCTGTGTCTAGGGAACGCTCCTGCAGTTCTGGGCCTCAGTCTGAGCTTGACTGGGCCCAGCAGTATGGAATGGGCCAGCTCTGCCCGGTGGCTGCCAGTCCCACAGCTCCTTCCCAGTAGGCCAGCAGAAGCGGAATGAAATTTATCTTTATGGTAGAGTAGTACTCCATTCTGTATAAATGCACATTTTCCTTTTCCATTCATTTCCTCGTGGGCATTTATACTGGTTCTAAGATTTAGGTAGAAATTGTGAATAATATTCACACTGATTTCCATGGTGGGTGTACTAATTTACATTTCCATAAACAGTGTAGATGAGTACCTTTATTATTTGATTTTTTGATGATAGCCATTCTTTCTGGGATAAGATGGTATCTCAAAGTCGTTTTAATTTTCATTTCCCTAATAGCTTGCAATGTTGAACACTTATTTGTGTATTTATTGGCTATTTATGCTTCTAGTCTTTGATTTTTTTTTTCTTTCAGGGAGTTTAATTTTTTTGAGTTCTTTATATGGTCTAGATATTAGCTGTTGGTCTAAGGAATAGATGGCAATTTTTTTACCCTTGTTCTGCAGGTTGTCTCTTTACTGTGTTGGTTTTTTCTTTGCTGCATAGAAGCTTTATAATTTGATATGATCCCACTTCTTGATTATTGCTATTATTTCTTGTGCCATTAAGATTCCACTCAAAAAGTCCTTGTCTATGACTATGTCTTTCCGGATTGTATGTATTTTACCTTGCAGTGGATTGTTTCTGCTTTTATATGTAGATATATTTTGATTTTAGCTTAGTACGTGGTGATTTTAGTTTAATACGTGGCTAGACTCAATCTTCTGCATTTGAATATATAATTTTCCAAGGATTATTTATTAAAGAGGCTATTATCTCTTCAGTATATTTTTGGTCTCTTTGTTAAAGATCAACTTGCTATATGTACCCCAAGTTGTTCTGCTGCTTCTCTTCTGCTCCATTGATCCACAAGTGTGTGTTTTTCTAGTAGTACCATACTATTTTCAACATTGTGACTTTACAGTATAACTTCAAGTTGGGAATTACTATGTGATCTGATTTGCTTTTGTTATCAAGGATTGCTTTTGATATTCTATGTCTCTTTTTGTTCCATGTAGACTTTAGGATTGTTTTCTCTAGATATTATTTTTTAATGTATTTGGTACAGGGTCTCACTACATAGCTTTGACTCTGTAGTAATCCTCCTGTTTTCAGTTCCTTCTGCCCTCAGCCCTGGGATGCAAGCATGTGCTGCCACACCTGGACTCTGTAGCAGGCTCAGCTTGCCTGGGGATGGATCAGTGAGGAATGTGGTGCTGGGTATTGAACCCTGGTCTCTGTTACTCTAGATCTATGAGAAATATTGTTGCTGTCTTGATTGAAATTACATTAAATCTGTATATCAGAATTGGCAGTGTAACTATTTGATTATATTAGTTCTGTTTATCTAGAAATAGGGTCTATCTTTCCATTTCCTGATGTCCTTCTCAATTTCCTTTTTCAGAGTGTTATAATTTCACTGTAGAGATAAAGACTGCTTCCTTAGGATAATTCCTAAGTATTTGATGTTTTTTATGCTATTATGAATGATGATGTTTTTGTAATGTATTTTTCAGTGAGTTCATCATTGTATAGAATTGGTATTAATTTTTTGTGTTTATTTTGTAACCTGCTACATTGCTGAATTTGATTGTTAGCTCCAGGAGCCTTTGTTGGAGGCTTGTGGGTCTTACATATAAGGGGACATGTCACCACAAATAATGGTACAATGTTTTGACTTTGTCCTTTTCTATACATTTTAATTTTATTTCTTTCACTTTCATAATTGTTCTAGTCAATATTTCAAAGATTTTGTTGAATAGGAGTGATGACAGTGAACATTCTTGGCTTGTTCCTGATTTTAAAGGGAAGGCTTTAGTTTTTCCCTTTTAATATGATGTTGGAGAAGGTTGATTGTACATGGACTTTATGAGGTTAGAATAATTTCTTGAATACCTATTTTCTTCAAAGGTTTTATCATGAATGGATGCTGAATTTTGTGCAAGATTTTCTCTGTGTATATTCAGACGATCATGTGGTCTTGTCCTTGCTTCTGTTTATATGATGAATCACACTTATTGCTTCATAAACTTTGAATCATCCTTGCATCCTTGGGATGAAGCTTATTTTTTCATGGTGTATGATCTTGATTATTTAATGCATTCTGTTTCCCAGTATCTTTTAATTTTTTACTTATTTTTATTTTTAAAGACTATAAAGTAGTGATAGAAAAAAAGCATTAGAAAAGACACAAGATTTCATTAAACAAAGTTTTAGGAATTCAGCAATGGTTGCTGTATTACATGATGCTATCTACATCATTATGCAATACACAACATTATGTAATACAACAAAAGCTGTGAAATTCATATTATTGTTTGGTGAAATTCTGTAGCTTGTACTTTGGAAAAATTGTGCTTCAGTTTCATTTCCTGTTATCTAATTGTTCAGATTTTCAATTTTCATTTTGGTAATATGTATGAATCTAGAAATTACTTCTGAGTTTAATTTTTTACATATATGTTTCTGAAGTAGTTGTTAATTATTTTTTAATTGTGGCATTGTCTAAATCCAATGGTGATTTCATCTTTTTCTTTTCTAATTGCTTTGATTTGCATCTTTTCTTTCCCTATTTGGTAAGAATGGCGAAGGGTTTATCTATTTTGCTTATTCCCAGCTTTATTTATGTTTAGTCCTCATTTCATCAGTTCTTTCCAGATCTTTATAATTTCATTCCTTATGCAAGCTCCGAGTTTGAACTATTCTTTTTTCTGGTAAGACCTTGAAATTTATCATTAAGTTATTTATTTGGGCTTATTCTGTTTTTTTAATGTGAGTATCCACAGTTATAATCTTCCCTATATTGTTTCTTTTACTGTGTTCCTTAAGTTCTGTTATGTTGTACTGTCATTATCATTTAATTGTGGGACTGTCTTATTTCTTCCTTTTTTTTTATTATTTCTTCCTTAATTTCCTCTGTGACCCATTGATCATTCAGTGATGTGTTATTTAATTTCCATACATTTGCATAGTTTTTTGGGCTTTTTTGTTGTTGATTTCTACTTTTATTGTGCTATAATCTGATACTATCTATGGGAAAGATTTTATTCCTTTGCATTTATTTAGATATGTTTGCTTATTAGACAAAACACCATATGCAGCTGTAAAGAATGTGTATGTTTTTTAAAGAGAGTACAAAATAGTTTTAAAGCAGAAAAATTACAAATGATACAGAATTTCACTAAAAAAATAATACAAATTTCACATTTTGTTGTATTGCATAGTGCTGTCTTCAAATTAGTTGTTCATATATATGCATGCAAAATTGGAACAAGAAAGAATATATATATATATATATATATATATATATATATATATATGAAAGTAAGATAGAGAAAAAGAAAAAATAATTGAAAAAAGACAAAACAAATTAAAGATTGACTGCTCCTTTCCATCGACTAGCAGAAATCCACAAACCAGTTGTACAAACCATCCTCCTTACATACATAGGTATATCTCTTTCCCCATCCCTCTCCTGTCCTCAACTCAGTAAAGAAAATGTTTATTTTGTTGGGTGGAATACTCTGGTGACATGTGTATGCTGTTCCAGCTTTCCTTACAGGGACTTATAGAACACAGTGCACATGGGCATTTTAGACCTTTTCATACTAGCTTTATATATATGAATAAGTACTGAGCAGCGTAGAATATTAATAGCTTTTTGGGTTGCATGATTTTTGTGAGGTAAGGACAAAGGTAAGATGTGTGAAGATTTTTAAGTTGGCATGGGAGCCAGATAATGTATCTGTCTGAGACAGAAAAGTATGTTATTATATGACTGAATGCCTCAGAAGAAAAGATGAATTGATGAGAACAGAGAGCAAGAAGATGAAGGAGAAGGTGTTAGAATCTATGTTTCTAGATCTCACCTTTCCCATTCTCTAAAAGTGAACCCTCTATATTCCAAGACTATTAGTTTTGTGTTCTTGCTTTGCCTTCTTTCTTAGGTTATAGCTGTGAACCCTACAACAACCCTGCTGACTTCTTCCTGGATGTGATTAATGGAGACCCCTGTGCTGTGGCACTAAACAGACAAGAAGAAGACCATGAAGGTTTCTGACTCTTAGATTCATATGCTTTTGCTTCATTGAGCAGAACCTTAGTGTGGTGGCTCATGAAAGTGTATCTTTGTGAACTCACCTTAGTGCAGTGTTCTGATACCAGTCAACAGCCTTCTCCAAAAGTGTTGTGGATGTTTTCAATTTAAGTGATGAATGGGAATTTATGTAATCCTGTCAATTGTTAGATGAGTTTCCATTAACAAATATATTCACTGGTTCCATCATTTTTAAAATAAGCAATTTGATATCACACATTATGCTTTTGTAGGTAGTAGAAAGCATGAACCAGATTTTTTATTTTTTTATGTATTTAGAACAGGGTCTACAGGGTCTAACTCCATAGATTGGACTCATAGTTATTCTGCTGTTTTCAGCTTCCCAAGCACTGGGATTACAGGCATGCATCACCATACCCAGTCTCAGTCGCTGTCTCAGCATGCCCTTGGGAGTGGGGAGCTGGCATGACACACTGGGGATTGAACCCCAGCCACTGAGCTCTGCCTAAGCAAGGGCTTTAGTCCTCTGAACTATCTGGCTGGCCCCCGAACCAGATTTTTAACATAAAAAATCTCTGTCTGTATGTGTATGAAAATCAGTCTATTTTAAAACTAATGTCCAAATAATTAGGAGAAGATCATTGCCTTTTCTGTATCCATAAATATGGTGGCAGTCAGATGGCTATGTTTTTCTAATGTGTAAAGCAACAATAAAGCTAGTAATATTTTATAGTCAAGCTTTTAAATTTAGGTGTTATTCAATAAGGGGGTGCAGAAGAGTGGTTTAAATTGCTTGCCATCTGATGATTTTTTTCTTTAAAGTAAATAAAATATTAATTAAAAAAGCATTAGAAACCATACAAAGTTTTACTAAACAAAATAATAGGAATTCAGTAATAGTTGCTGTACTGGATGATGTTAGCTTCAAATTAGTTGTTTAGGTTACCGGATATAAACCTGCAAAATAGAATAAAAAATAGAAAACAGCAACAAAAATGTTTTGAGAAATTAAAAGAAGAAAAAGGATAAAATGAAAAAAAAATTAAGCATTAACTACTCCTTTCAAAAGACCAGCAGAAATTGGTAGTATGATTATCCAAACTATTTGATAATGTTTTCTTTATCTATTTTACTTACAAGCCGATGAGACTGAAGAACTTTTCAAGAGACAAAAATCAGCCATAGAACATTTAGCAGAATTTTATGCCGAGTCCTCTGTCTGCAGAAAAATAAAAGATGACTTAGATCAACTCTCAGGAGGTGGGAAGAGGAGCTTAGTCTTCAAGGAGACCACCTATGTTACGTCCTTCTATCATCAGTTTAAATGGATTGCCTGGCGTTCATTCAAAAACCTGTTGGGTGATCCTCAGATTTCTGCATCTCGGGTAATCTGACAGATTCTTTAATTGTGCTGTAAATAGTCATGTGTTGGAAATTTGCTTCTGATATAATCTAATTTTGGATTGTGATTACTTTCTACTTACCATTCCATATATAGTTTCCATCCTCACCTATTTGGAAAGTAGAAACAGTTAAAATATCAAGAAAACACAGTTAAATAATTTAGGGACAAGCTTGGTGATTTCTTGGGATACTGAACTCATAAATTTTGCTGACTTAGATAAGCTGTAATGGATAATCTGTATATTTTGTGAAAACATATAAAGGAAAAGCAGTGCCCATCACATATGAAGTATCTAGTGGCTGTCTGTTTTCATGCACTGGCTCATCCCACAAGTTCAATACAAGGTCATGTCTTGTGATTTGAGACTCTAATATAGTAGTGAATAAAATGAGCAAAAATAAAAATCTCTACTCATTTGGAACATATTTCCTTATAAGATCAGAAAGATAGTAACTTAATAAAAACAGGTTAGTAGTACAGTTACAATAATGAATACATTGGATATTGTTGTCTTTGTAGTAGTTATTATTCATGTACTACTTTGTAGTAGTACATTTTCACTACAAAATGGTCCTTAATTTATATTCCCCTTTATTGTTTACCTTATTCAGAGATGTGTATTCCATCACCACTCATATATTGTAGGTGCATGAATTCAGCAGAGTAATCCAATGTAGTCCAGTGGTCTATAATAGTAGTGGGTTATCTGCATGATTGGGAATGTCAGAAGTTGTTGACTTGAGCCTTTTACAGGTCAGCATATTAATATGGCTTTACTTTATATATCTCATGTTTGTACTTTTCTGCTGGATGGTTAAGACCAAAATAAAGCAAGACCTAAATAACAAAAAATGCAATTTTTGTGTCTGACAAGGTCAGTCAGATCCCCTCAGGACTTACCTTTAAACCCTGTACAGCAGTTTGTAGATCTTTTGTCAGTGTCAGCAATGTGGATGAGTCATGGCCATTGCTTGACCATTTTGCTCTCTGTAAAAGCCTGAGAGACTATTTTCTGTCCAGGTGACTGTCCTTAGGCACACTCTACATTTTTTCTCATTTCCCTCTGTGGCTCCATAATCTATTTGATCAAAAAAAATTGGCACACCACTGAGTTACAGGATGTTAAAATACAGGTTCTCTTATGTCCTTAGTCCTCCCTGACTTTCAGGGGGTAGGCTGAAATGTTGGCTATTCTTGTAGTCCTTCTTTTTCTCTGATTTTTTTGGTCTGCAAACTTAAGTTGTTAACCCTCCAGAAGAGAAGCTTAATGATATTATTAACCTAAAATATAGGCGGGAGTCTGGCTGGGGAGGGGTTTTGGGCATGATGAGCAGAAGAAATTTATTCTTTCATGTCATTTATGCAACATTTTTCTCTTACTTGTCTTTAAAAGCACTTTATGCATGTCTTGTGTAAGATATGTATATGGTTGTTTTGGGCATGGTATGATGAGAACATAGCCATTTATAATAATCTAGGAAGTTAAATGTTATAGCATCTGCCTAATATGAGTGAGGTCCTGGGTTCACAGGTATGCACACACATATGCACACATAGCTTCATTTAGCATTTTAAACATTTAACTATAGATTACTTTTTCCGTGACTGTTCACAGCTCAGAGCACATTTTGAAGAATGTTGTATGTATAAGATAACACATTTGGAGAATTTCTTTATTTAATCCTTCTGTTTGGAGGCTGTTGGGCTCATGTCTAAATCTTGTAGAGAACATCACTTACTGCACTTTCCTTAGTTCCCATAGTGATTCCCTTTTCTTTATGAAAGAAAGACTAACACAGGTGCACCTTGTAAAAGCAGGATATAAACTATGGGATGTCTTGTTTTGTCAAGATTTTTGAAAATTAACTGAACATAATATAAAACGCTTGAAACTGATAGAAAGTATACTAATGCTAATATTGACAGTATTAGTATAAGATACTGTATTATCTATCAATACAAAAGAAGCAAATATTATGCACATAGTTTGAAAGACTATTATTCTTAACATTAATGTTGTGTGAAATTACAGATTGTAATACATATGTGCAGGCTGTTTTAATAGAACAATGGACATTTATTTTGACAACTTGATCTGTGAATTGAGATAGAGTATATGCTGAGAGCAGTGAAAATTTGCTCTAGAGTAATGGATTTTTCCTCCTAAAATTGTTTTATTGGCAAAGTAATTTTTAAGGACATGTGATTAGTGAAGGATTCATTTAAATAGTAATCTTTTGGGCTAGGGAGTTAGCTCAGTGGCATAAGTGCCTGCCTGGCAAGTGCAAGGTCCTGAGCTCAATCCCTGGTACAAAAATAAAATCTGTCTAGGCTAAACTAACACTCTACCATTGGGTTATATCCATAGTCGAAGTTTTGCTTGCTTCCAATATTAAATTTAAAGTTATCCTTTTTTCTCTTAAAACTCTTACTTGGGTATATTCACATAAGTGGTTCTCTTAAACCTCTTAAAATGTAAAATTGGGTATTTGGGTATAGGCACAAGAATTAAGAATTCCATTTAAATAGAAATTCCCAGCCATTTTGACTTTACTTTGTTTCCAAAACAACTTCCTTAGGTATCTGAATTGCTCTGTCAACTGTGTGATATTCATGATCTAACACCTCAGCGGAGCCCTGAGGCAGAAGGGCCTTATAGTCACTGGGAGGAATCTTAGTTTTTCTACTATTGTGCTCTACTGTACTGTCAGATCCAAAAACAACACCTAACTTAATGTTCAATTTAATTTGGAAAGTATTCTAAGAACATGCAATTTATATTGTATTCCCTTCTGGCCTCTCACCAAACTAATTAAAGTATTTATCTCAGTGGAGAGATTTATGTCGTACTGTATATCTTACAATAAATGATGTACAAAAAGTTTTACATCTAATTGAAACACTTTCTTTTTTCATTTTCAAAAGGCTGCTATCCCATTCATAGTGGGATTGGTTATTAGTGGCATTTTCCTTGGGCTAAGAAACCATTGTACTTTATTCCAGAATAGGTAAGTAAATTTGAATTTGTTTTGTTTTGTTTTGTTTTTGAGACAGGATCTCACAATATGTTCCAGGTTGACTGGCTGTTTATTGTATAGCCCAGGCTAGCCTCAAACTTTCAGCAATCTTCCTGACTCAGTCTCTAAGTGCTGAGATTGCAAGCATGTGCCACCACACAGAGAATAAATTAGATCTTGATTTTGAGAAAATGCGATACTTTGTTTACACTTATTATCACTTATTAAGAATTGAATGTAAAACATGTACAGGGTAAACATCCCTATTTCATTGTGTGGTAGAATTAATTAAAGCATAGAAAAGTCAATGAAAGAGTTTTTACACACGTAGGTATGTATATATGTGTAAACTATTCCCATACAGTTTATCCTTTTTATTTTATTTTATTTTTTTTTCCAGAACCAGGGATTGAACTCAGGTCCTTGTGCTTGCCAGGGAAGCGCTTATTCCACTGATCCATCTGCCCAGCCCCTCCTTTTTATCTTTTGAAGTGTAAAGTTCAGTGGAACCAAGTACATTCTCATTGTATAACTATCATCATCATCTAACTTCAGAGCTATTTTTCATTTTCCCAAATGGAATCTCCATATCCACTAAAGAACTCCCCATCCCCACCACTCTAAATCCCTAGCCAATGCCATTCTACTCCACATCTCTGAATTTGACTCTCTGAAGGCAACTTGCACACATGGGGTCACACTGTACTCCTTTTCTTGTGACTGTCCTGTTTCTTATACCATCATGTCTTCAGGATTCATCCAAGTTGTAGTATGTATTATAAATTCATTTTTCAATGCTATAAAATAGTTAATGGTATGTATAAATTACATTTTTATGCATTCATCTTCTGTTGAAATTTTGGGTTTCTTTTACATTGGCTAATGTGAATAATGTTGCTAGAATTGTACAAATACTAACGAGTCTCTGCTTTCACCTCTTCATGGAAGATTCCAGAAGCAGAACTATTTAGACATATTGTAATTGTGTTGCTCTTTGAAGAGCAACTACCAGCAGCATCTGAGGGTGCCAGTTTCTCACATCCTCCCCCAAACCAACCAACCTTGTTGTTTTTCCTTTCTTCCTTCCTTCCTTCCTTCCTTCCTTCCTTCCTTCCTTCCTTCCTTCCTTCCCTTTAATCTTCTCTTTGCTTCTCTCTCCTCATCCCACCCCTCCCCTTTCTTCCCTCCTTTTTTCTTTCTCTTTTAACTTTTATTACAAGCCAGGGGGTTTGAACCCAAGGCTTACTCACTGAGCTACAGTCCCATCTCTTAAAATTTTGAGATGAATTCTCCCTAAATCGCTAAGTTGCCAGACAGTTCTACTTTATCCTTCTCAGTATTGGCTTAAAGGTACATATTACCATACCTGGCTTTTTTAAAATAAAAAAACAATAGAGATGCACTGAATCTTTGGAAAAATATATATTTAAGTCCTTTTCCATTTATAATAATGGACTGTCTAGAGTTCGTGGTGGTTGAGTTGGAATTCATGTTTCTGGGCTCTTAGTCTTTTAACAGATATTTTCTATGTATTTTTCTTATTCTGTGGGCTGTTCTTCATTCTGTTGATAGTATGTTTGATGCTTAAATGTTTAAAAATGTAATGAAATTCAGCTTAATTATTTTGTCCTTTGTTGTTTGTGAACTAGTTTCTTTGATGTCTTTTGAGTTGTTTGATTTGAGTGTTGGTTAAGCATGTGAACTCAATTTCTCCTGTTATATGAGTAACAGAGTCACTCTTATTATCCATACTTCCTTTCATCTGTGTGACTGAAAATCAAATGTGCCTTTAAAAATTTTGTTTGTGGTGAAAGTTTCATTTTGTTTTGCTTTATGCGGGATAGAACTCAAGGTTGCTTTAACAGTGAGCAATATTCTCTTTATTTACAAATTATCTTATAAAATTGTCCAGATTTGCTTTAAATTTTCCATCCTTCTGCCTCAGCTTCCTCAGTGGCTATGATTATAAGCATGTCTCACCATGTCCAGAACACAATGGGACATTTTAAAATCTTTTTTTTTCCAAAATTTTATTGATAAACAGATAGCAATGAGACAGTTTCAAATCA